AACATGGGCTACTGCCCACAATTTGATGCTGTTAATGAACTGCTGACAGGGCGAGAGCACCTGGAGTTCTTTGCTCTCCTGAGAGGTGTTCCAGAGAAAGAAGTCTGCAAGGTAAATGAAACGCCATAGAACTCACCCCAGTAACCAGTTTGCAAGTTGTTTTGTGTGCCCTCACTGCAAGACATAAAATGCCATGATGTGAAAGTGTTGAAGGTACTGTATGGTGAAATCTGCCCCCCTTCCCTTCAGAGCAATCCAAAAGTTTTGGTGTTTTTTCAGTGTTGCCTAGAGAAGTGTACTAAATGGAAGGGCAGATAATTTGGGTCCTGTGTTCTCATAGTGGAAGCCCTTCTCCACTGAATTACTTTCTTTAAGAATTTAAGGGCTGTGGAGTTGCATGTCTTGCAGAACCTCACCTGCTGTCAAGGGTTAGTTCTTCAAAGTCCCAGGAACCAAACTCTACAGCTTAACAGAAGCCTCATGCTGGCTGTTACAGCTTTCCAGTTGATTGTGCTTCATCATTGAAGTGCTGCTATTTCACCATTCAGACGTGGAGTTACACCAATGGTCTTTAGGCAATTAATCACAGCTGCCAGTACCATACAGCACTCTTCTCAGCACTGTTTCCTTGAGTTAACAGCAGTTTTCACTGTATGAGACCTGGGTGCTACAAAACAGGAACTGCTGAAGGTAGATGTTACATAGGGTGTGTCCAAGTAGCTTGAATCCCTTTGTAAGAGTAGGCATGATGGGTGAAAATTGCAAGCTCCTTCTAAGATTGCTGCTGAGTTCTTCTGTTTGATATTCCCACCAGCTCCCATAAAAAAAGGGACCCAGGTCTGCATATGATTTGAATAGTAGCTGGATCCCTTCCCCATTTAAGTCTGTAGGGCAACAGTGCCTGTCTACTGGCACCATTAGGGATACTCCTGAATAACAGACAGATCCCATCTGTCTGAAGGGCTAAGATGCACCACGGTGGGATTTGCTGTGTGTCAGTAGTGACCATGTCCCTGCTGTAAGCCCACAGGAGCAGGAAAGCTCTCTGAAGCTGGTGCTGCTAAGAGCACTAGACTGGTGGTTAATGTGGCTCAGCTGGTGTTAAACTCATGCTCACTGGCTGATCAGCTGCAGCCATTTGACTTTTCAGGGCTCCCAGGGACAGGATTGCACATATCCTGCTCTAGAGGTGAACAGGGTGCTTCAAAAGCCATATCCGTGCACATCATGTCCTCGGATGAATGGCCCTTCTAAAAACTGCTTTCAAAGCCAAAGCTCATAAGGAAAATCTCCTTGTGTGGATGTTGCTGTGCTTGATTCAAGATGGTGACGTGCTGTCTGTTGTAGGTTGGCGAGTGGGCAATTCGGAAGCTGGGCCTTGTGAAATATGGAGAGAAATACGCTGGGAATTACAGCGGGGGGAACAGACGCAAGCTCTCCACGGCCATTGCCCTCATTGGAGGGCCACCTGTGGTGTTCCTGGTGAGTCTGCAACCTTTGCTCATTAGCAGTTTTCTTGCAGAATAGAAAAACCGTCTTCAAACGAAGACTAGCTATTTCATGTCCAACTAATGTTTAACTACATCATTAATCACTTAAACATGAGCAAATAGCACATGGAAATAAATATTCCCTATGTAGGTGCAAGCTATAAAGTGCCTCCAGGCTTCTGTTTCTGGAAAATCACTGTGAAGTGGGGGTCTCAAACATGATGCCAAACCGTCAGCAGCTTCAAGATTTCTATGCCTACAAAAAACTACAGCCTTCTTGCTAGACATGAACAAATCTGACTGTGTTTTCAATAATCGACTGAAAATTGGAAATAAATATTTTACCATTCCCTAGATTAAAATTGAGGACAGACACTAGAATTACTGAAGCTCAGAGTGCATGAGAAAGTAGACTTGTGCTGTATTTAAACAAGCTAATTGGCTTCAACTTGTCTTAGAACTGGCTATTTCAACGTGCTGTAATTGCAGAATAAGCAGTACTTCTCAGTTCTGAAAAGGATGTGTTTGCTAATTTAAAATCTGGAGCACAAGTTATTTTCTCATTTTAGAAAACGAGTCAAACTTGCTTATTTTCAGTGTTTCCAGTATGCTTAATCAGAATGGACAGGTCATTTCATAGACGAGGTATTTGTCAGTGCAATGTAGCAGTGTAATCTGTTTTTTTGGTACACGTATTGCAGGATGAGCCAACGACAGGGATGGATCCCAAAGCACGTCGTTTCTTGTGGAACTGCGCCCTGAGTGTGATCAAGGAGGGGAGATCAGTGGTGCTCACATCTCACAGGTACGTGGCGGCCCACTTGTGTCGTACCCTGGCTTTTGCATCTGCCAGGGCTGGACGCTAAGCTCGGCTTGGCTGCTCTGCCCTTCGCTGCTGTTTGCAGTGCTAATGAAGTTACTCTTGCCTGCAGCATGGAAGAATGTGAAGCCCTGTGCACTCGAATGGCGATAATGGTCAATGGGCGGTTCAGGTGTCTGGGCAGCGTCCAGCATCTAAAGAACAGGTACCTGTTTTCTTTTCACTTACACCACAGAGTTGCCTGCATTTTTAGGGAGATACAGTCAGGCTTAATTCCTCGTGCAGCGTTCCCGTTGCTGTTCTGACTGTGGGAAATGCTGATGGATTTTAAGCTGCGCTTGTATTTCCGAAGCACTAAAGCCTTGTGCTGGTGTTCTTGTTTGCAGGTTTGGAGATGGTTACACCATAGTGGTGAGAATTGCAGGGGCAAACCCAGACCTGAAGCCTGTTGAGGAGTTCTTTGGGCATGCCTTCCCTGGAAGTGTCCTGAAGGAAAAGCATCGGAATATGCTGCAGTACCAGCTTCCTTCTTCACCATCCTCCCTGGCCAAAATATTCAGTATTCTCTCCCAGAACAAAAAGAGACTCCACATAGAAGACTACTCCGTTTCTCAGACAACACTTGACCAAGTAAGTTTTTAGTAGCCTGGATGCCAAAAGCTTCTTTGTGCAGAGGTAGGAATAAATCCACTAATTTACTGGACCTTTCTTTTAAGGGCATTTCAACAAAGTAGAGTAACAAATCCCAAGACTATTTCAGGATGCCCAGTGTTTAAAATGCCCCAAATTAATGAAAATCCAGGTGTGTGACATGCTCTTTTTTTCCTGTAGGTATTTGTCAATTTTGCTAAGGACCAAAGCGACGACGACCATAGCAAGGACCTGTCATTACACAAAAACCAGACTGTGGTAGACATTGCAATCCTTAATTCCTTCCTGCAAGATGAGAAGGTAAAAGAAAGTTGTGTGTGAGCCAATTTCATCAAAGAAATGATGAGCAGAATGCAAACTTCCTTTCCCTGGGATAGGATACTCCCAAAGAAGAAGCTAGAGGAAAAGAAACTGGACACTCTACTGATAACCATTCAATGCAATGCAATTCAATGCAATGAAAACAATTCCTTTACAGGGGCAGTGCCTCATGGAGTCGTCTTGTACTGTTTTCAAGTGAAAGACTTGAACTTAGCTCCTTACAGTATAACTCTGAAGCTGTGGTAAAGCACCCACTAGATGCTGTGGGCTTTAAACCATACTGTATCTTGTTCTGCACAGTATGTTTTTCTTAGGGTTGCTAAAATAATTCACTGAGGAGTCAGGGCCAGTGGTTACTTACAGGTATTCTAGACATGCATGTTTTAGTTTTTAGAACGTTCATGTCAGGAGTGGGAATTTGCTGGTGCTACATCCATTGCTGGCAATGAATGTACCAGAACAGTCAGTGGCAAGAAAAGTCACCACCAGTGTTGTAGCCTTAGATTGAGAAAACTTACCTGACCAGCTGCTTTTTCTAGACTGGTACAGATCAGTAGTGACAAATCTGAGGCCACAAAGCAGTACTGTGGAGGTGGGATGGCAAGAGATGGGCCATGATAACCATGTATCTTCATCAGCAAGTTGTGATATGCAGAACTGTGTACCCTCCAAATGCATATGATTGTCCCACCAGCATCACAATCAATAACACACTCTGACTAGGTATTTGTGTAGTTAAGTACTTTACTGTTCCTTTGAGGTACTGCAGCAGCTGCATGAATATCTAGTGGGAGGAAGTGGGTGAGAAGCAGACCTAGGGTTTGGACCACAGCAGCGAACTCAGTAGTTGTACAAGCTGCTAATGCCAAGAGCAAATTCTAAGTCATGAGCTGTCACTCAGATTTGTAGTATCTGCTCTTTAACCTCTCACAAGTTCCTGCCCGTTCCTCTTGTCCCATTGATGGGCACCCCCAAGCAGAGCCTGGTCCATCCTCTGACAGACATGGATGAGGTCCCCTCTCAGTGTCTCTTCTCAAGGCTGAACAGCCCCAGCTCCCTCAGCCTTTCCTCATAAGGAGATGCTCCAGTCCCTTCATTATCTCCACAGCCTCTGCTGGACCTGCTCCAGGAGCTTTCTCTTGTCCTGAGGAGCCCAGACCTGGACACAGCAGTGCAGATGTGCCTCACCAGGGCTGAGTAGAGGGGCAGGATCACCCCCTGACCTGCTGGTAATGCTCTTCCCAACGCACCCCAGGATCCAATTGCCCTTCTTGTCCCCCAGGACACACTGCTGGCTTAGGGACAGCTTGTCCACCAGAACCCCCAGGGCCTTCTTTGCAGAGCTGTTCTCCAGCAGATCAGCCCCAGGCTGTGATGGTGCCTGGGGCTGTTCCTCCTCAGGTGTAGATAAGCAAGAATAAGATGTAGAAAGACAAGTGGTAGATTTATAACTGAACAGTTTACTGTGGTGTTTCTAATAAGAAAAAAATACCCAAGCCAAACATACTGCTCGAAGATGTTAGTTTTTTATGTACACCTTTGTCTATAATTTGTCCCTTAGTATTATAAGGTAATTGCAGCTTATAAATCAGCTGGTAACATTTTATCTTCATTCTGCTGGAAGAGACCTTTCTCTTCACTGAAGTAATTACTTTTGACAACAATCCATTGAAGAGATCACTGAAGTCTTCACCAGTTACGTGATTCCAGTCCTTAACTGTAACATGTAATTCCTCTGAAAGAACACAGATAAAAAGTTTATTTTTCAAGACTAGAAAAGTCTGGTCCTCCTTTGCTGTAGTTTCCAGAAACTTCTGCCCCACTGAAGTCAAATCCAGGGTTCTCTCTTTGGAATCGCTCCAGTGTAAGCTTCCTCTGCATCCGGTCCTGTACCCAAGGATCAGCAGCGTATTCATTTTCTGACAGAGATGTCCAACAGTTTCCAGCATCTCTATTTGTCTTCGTTAGAACAATTCGTATCAGCTGCCTGTCTTCTAATGTCCATGTTCCTTCATCAGTTACTGTAGAGTCAGAAAGTTTACTCTGCAGCAGCTCCCGCCCTTGTGTGGCCAGCATGATGTCGCGGCTGCCCAGGCTGCAGCGCACGTCCTTGGCGCGCACCTCGATGAAAACCTCCTCCAGCGTCTGGTACCAGCGGCCCCAGGGCGTCCCACAGGGCACCGCCCCACCGCGCTCCTCGAACGGCGCCTATATGGGGCACGGCGGCTCCGGGGGGCACGGCTCGGCACACTTTACCTGCTCTTCAGAGCCTTTAAGGGGTACGAGGGGTCTCTCATCAAACTCACCTCCAGGCAGCCCATGGGCTTCGTCAGCTTCAACAGCCGCTCCGAGGCAGAGGCGGCGAAGAACGCTCTGAACGGCATCTGCTTCGACCCTGAGATCCCCCAGACAAAGTACAGGAAATAGTTTGTAAACCACAGGGACCGCTGCCCTCAGCCCCCCACAGCCCCCGCCCCGCCGACAGATTTTTTTTTTTTTTAAACAGTATTATTTATGACTTTAAATATGTAGGTAGCATAATTAGGGATTGAAAACACTGTCAGCTGATCTCTGTAGCCACACTATTCCTTCACATTATGCCCCAGTGCTATGCTCTCTTTCTGTCTATTTGGTGGATAGCTGCATTCATGATGGGGATGATGGAAGACTTCCTGAGGTGCAGGCTGATAGAAAACTTCTGTCTTCTTTAAGCTGACTTCTAGCCCAAAAAGCTCAGCAGCCTCAGCAAAGCAGGATGTTAAACACTGCAGAGCTGCTTCTGTGTGGGCAACAAGGGCGGCAGCATAAAGCAGCTCCCGGACAAGGTGGTTTAAGGTCTTGGTGTGGGCCTTCAGTTGCTTTAGGTTGAAAAGGCCTCCATCAGTACAGTATTGGATGTAGACACCGTCCTGATCCTCGAGGTCTGCCGTGGCCCTTTGGAGCATCCTGCTGGAAAAGAGTGTGAATAGGGTTGGAGTGAGAACGCAGCCTTGTTTCACACCATTGGTTATTAGAAAGGGCTCAGAAAGTGCATTGCCATGTCTGACTTGGCCGTGCTGATCCTCATGGAGTGAGATGATCATTTTAAGGAACTTGGGGGACATCCTAAATGTTCCAAAATCTGCCATAGACCTTTTCTGCTCACAGTATCGAAAGCCTTGGTGAGGTCAACAAAGGTGACATAGAGACCTTTGTTCTGTTCCCTGCACTTCTCTTGCAGTTGTCTTGAGAACAAACACCATGTCTGTGGTACTCCTGAAACCACACTGGCTTTCAGGTAGAATTCCTTCTGCTGTAGCGGGTATTAGTCTGTTCAAGAGTATTCTTGCCAGGAGTTTACCAGCAATGGAGAGCAGAGTAATACCACGGTAATTTGAACAGTCTGATTTCATTCCTTTCTTCTTATACAAAGTGATGATGACTGCATCACAAAGGTCTGATGGTAGTTTGCCTAGTTCTCAACAGCGCACTGCAAACTCGTGAAATTTAGCATGGAGTGCAAGGCCCCCATGTTTCCAGACTTCAGGTGGAATTCCATCAACCCCAGCTGCCTTGCCAGTTTTCACCTGCTGTATGGCCTTGAGGGTTTCTCCCATAGTAGGGGCAATATCCAATTCATTCTTCACGGGTTGTTGTGTAATGCACTGAATTGCTGAGTCTTGGGCTACATGGTTAGTACTGAAAAGAGTCTGAAAGTGTTCAGACCAAAGATTCAGAATGGAGGTTTTATCTGTCAGAAGCGTTTGGCCATCTGCGCTGAGTAGAGGGCTTTGTACCTGGTATGTAGGCCCATATGCTGTTTTCAGGGCCTCATAGAATCCTCTGTGATCACCCATATCTGCGCATAATTGAGTTTTTTCAGCTAGATCGATCCACCACTTGTTCTGGATGTCACGGAGTTTCTGTTGGAGCTTGCTGCATGCAAGACGAAAGGCTGCTTTTCTTACGTGACAGGATGGCAGTGCAAGGTGTGCTTTGTGAGCAGTTCTCTTCTTCCTCAACAATTCCTGGATCTCTTGATTGTTTTCATCAAACCAGTCCTTGTTCTTCTTGAAGGAGAACCCTAAGAATTCTTCAGAGGACTGCAGGATGCTACTTTTAATATGTTGCCAAAGTGTTTCAGGAGAGGGATCTATAGAATGATTATTGAGCCTAGTTTGAAGATTTGCCTTAAATCTGTCTCTTACTGTGGCTGTTTGAAGATTGTTAACTTGGAATCTCCTCCTTGGGATACGTTATACATGTGACAACTGCTTCAGTAAAAATCCCCTTGGAGAACAAGATAGTTCGAAATAGTAGCACTGCAGTTCATCAATCAATTTTTCAAGTTTTACAAGGCCAGAATAATATTAGATATTATATATTATATAGTGAGAACAACGAATTCTTGTTCACATTGTACAACAGTCATGGGAAAGTATGCTTTCAGGGCCCCTTTGTCTTGCTTTTACATTCAGAAATGGGTTCAGTAACGAGGTTTGAACCTAAGTGCAGTTCCTGGGCTATTCCTTTGTCATGTCTCTGCCTTAAACACCCACAGAGTTTCTGCAGTAGTTCTTGATGCTACTCCGTGAATCAGTCATGGACCATTTTCTTCTGTGAATGTTCCTAGCAGCCCAGCAAACAATGAAGAGGCTGGCATGAGCCTGAAGAAGGTTGATGACCTATTTCCAAGTACACTTGGTAACACTGACCAACTCAGCATTTTTAAAACACAGTTAAACCAAGTTCCCAGTCTCTCCATGTCCTGTCTTGAGGTAAAGTTAGAGCTTACTCCAGGCTCTGCAGAAGTGCCTTTTCCATACCTTTTTTTTTTAATCTGTATAATACATTGCTAAGGGGATTGAGAAAGGAGTGTAAAGGGGATCGGTATACCTCACTTTAAACATACTTTGTTATTACCTTTATGGCATCACTCTATGGGGATGAGTACAGGGTGATGAACACATCAGACTTCCAGGTGCGAAAACAGCTGAGTTACAGCCATTGCTCCATAACAGGCTGCAAGTATGTTGCAGTATCATTGAAACAAGTAGCATGTACTGGATGCTTACCACTGCTGAAAACCACTGTTGTGAATCAGCATCAAGTTGCTGAAGTGAAGGGCTTAAGTTTTGCACTGCACCAAACTAGTGCATGTAGAACTAGAACGAGTTCTAGGAGGATTTGGATTTGGTCCTGAAAGGGCTGTGGTTTGCTCTTGGTAGCTGCTCATTTAAATTATTAATTTATCAGGAAACAACACTTACGTCATCCTCTTTCCTTAGCCAAACAAAAAGATTCTTGATTCCTGTTGCCCTGTGATTGTCATGCTTAAAGGGTCTGCTATCTGTGCTAAAACGTTACAGTGGATATTAACCAAACTATTTCACAGCTCTGATCTGCCTTGTTTGTACTGAACAGACAGCATAATGCAACACTGGCATGAAGATATGTCATGGAGTAAGTTCAGACAGCCACTAATTTACTCGTTCAAGTATGTGTTGGGGAAAAATCACTCTAGAGACACACGCAGTATATGAACCACTCTTGATAATGAAACTGCACTGAGGTGTTAACTTATTTTAAACTGCAGTACTATTGACATGTTGCATCCCTCTTTGTAGTACGTTTGTATTTCAGTAAGGAGTTGTTGGATTTTCCCCTTGGTTAAACCACCACTTTGTGCTTATCTTTCCCTCCTGAATTGTAGTTGGCCCTTCGTTCCAAGCACTTTATGCTATCTGTAATGGGATCTATTTTTGCACTGGAATATCTGTTAACTTTGCAAAAATCTAGAGAGATTTCACAACTGAAATTTCTAAGTTAAATCCTTAAGTGGACATTTTCATTAAAAACAAAAAAAAAAAGTATATATATTTGTATTTGCTAATATCTGTTATGTGAAGTATTAAAAGGCACTCTGCCTTGTATTAAGTAAAAAATAAAGCTGTTTTAGCACCACTGGTCTTCACAAGTGTCATTTTTACATTTGTTCTTTTGTGGAGCACAGGTTTGTTTTGTTGTGAATTTTGATGCATAACATTCCAGTATCTCTACAACTTAGCATGGAGTACATACTATTCAGGCAAGCAAGGTGGTACAAGATTTGAAAGGTACATGCTTTAAGCTTCTAAACTTAGTAAATAAAGAGGTCTCTAGCAAGTCATGAAAACAGTGTTTGGTTTATTTGTCAAATCCAGCTGCAGAGCATAACAAATTTCTCTGGATGTTTAAATCCCAACTCAAGTACCTGTCTCTGAATTTTCATTACAGAGATGTAAGTTGTACTTTGGACATAAGCATAATTGCCTATGGCTGTTCTATAGTGCTTTCTGTGAGACCTTAATGCACTTTAAGCAAGCAATAATCATTAGGCGAACTGCACAAAGATACCTCAGTAGAGATATTAAATCAATTGCTCGTTGCAGGTCTGTGATGAACGTCTGGAACAGACTCCCAAGTGCTCTGCAGTTCATAGTCAGTACCCATAAATTGCAGAAGAGGGTGCTCCACACCACCTGACCAGCTCCACTGTAGCACCCAAGTCCAAGTCCAGCTACGTTGATGTTTTACTTTGCTCAGGATTAATAGAGTTTCCCAATGAGATGTCTGATTAAAACTTAACTGGGTAAGGTATATGTGGGAGCATTCCTTCTTAAACCAGTATGAAATAACCACGATGTGATAATTATAAGAGGCACTAAAATATGTTAGCAAAGTGATACCACCCCTGACTACAGTGTTGGAAAAGAACACTTAACTTAGTAGGTTTGATAAGGGATCTAGCTATTTGAAAAAGTATTAAGAACTTAGGGGTTAAAATGAAAGACTGGTGAAGTGTGGTTCATGTCATGTGTGATACGGCTCAAGTTCTCTTTCCTGGAGAGGTAGGAACAACATCATAAACTTCTTTTTAACAACTGATAGCAGCATGCTGATTTACACTGCTAGTGATCAGCATTTTGCATCCATTTTTGGTCAACTGAAGAACAGCTGAGTTCGCTGGGTAGGGGGATCCATGTCACTTGCTGACAGCACTTCCATCTTGTCTCTTTTGCCATCAGTTACACCCTTTAGAAGAAGGTTATTTCAGCGGTGAGCACTGCAGAGGAATCAGGAGTGCGTTTTGCTGGGACTCCAAGAACCTGACGCTGTTGCGCACTGAAATTAAATGCATGTTTAATTAAGACATAACTTCCAATGAGAAGTAATATTTTTCTCAGCATGCATGCAGGTAACATGACTGAGTTCTCTGGATGCATCATCTCTTACCAGCTGCTACGACTCTGGCATCTTCATGGGCTCTGTGTCTTCCCGCTGCCCGGTTATCTGGGCTCTCATTCCACCACAACACATGGACTGAGAAAGAACAAATAAAGTCAGCTGAATACTGTTATGCTGC